GCAGCCCCGAGGAGAGGGACTGGGGGGGCTGGTGGGGGGAAAACTGCCCGTGAGGCAGCCCCGTGCGCTGGCAGCCCAGAACCCACCCGTGCCCTGGGCTGCAGCCAGAGCAGGGGGGGCAGCAGGGCCGGGGGGGGGATTCTCCCCCTCTGCTCCGCTCTGGGGAGACCCCCCTGCAGTGCTGGGGCCAGCTCGGGGGCCCCCAACAGCAGAAGGACCCGGAGCTGCTCGAGCGGGGCCAGAGGAGGCCACGGAGATGCTGGGGGGGCTGGAGCAGCTCCCCTGGGGGGCCGGGCTGAGAGAGTTGGGGGGGTTCAGCCTGGAGAAGAGAAGGGGCTGGGGAGCCCTTCGAGCGGCCTCCCAGGGCTTAAAGGGGGGGCAGGAGAGGTGGGGGTGGGTGGAGATAGGACAAGGGGTGAGAGTTTTAAACTGAAAGAGGGTAGGTTTAATTTAGCTATAAGGAAGAAATTCTTCTCTGTGCGGGGGGTGAGGTGCTGGCCCAGGGTGGCGAGAGAAGCTGTGGCTGCCCCCTCCCTGGAAGGGTTCAAGGCCAGGTTGGACGGGGCTGGGAGCAACTGGATTTAGTGGAAGGTGTTCCTGTCCATGGCAGGGGGGTTGGAAGGGATCTTAAAGATCATCTAGTTCCAACCCAGACCGTTCTGTGATTCTATGAAATGTCTGTAAAGTTCACTTTGGAATGTCAGTTTGGTGCCTGTAGCAATACAGATGACAGAGATGAAGCTTTTTAGGTTGACCCAAGAGGTTCTTGTCATTGTCTTCCCCATCAGTTGGGCATCTTCAGTCTGTGTGACTCCTTTCTGTACCACAGCCTTCTCTGATGGATTTTCGTCGTAGCAGTGGAATACGTCAGGCTGTGTTGGAGATGACCGAGCATCAGATCCTTCTTGTATACTCTTCTGAACCCAAAACTCTTGGTTAACCCACTGGTTACAAGAACAAAGCCAGGCTGTAATCTGACTGGTGCTCTTGATCTTTCTGTCCAGGTTTGAAGAACAGTTGCACCAATGTCTAGCTGAGGACATTGAGCCCCTTGGTGATTTCGTAGGTCTTCCTCTCTACCTCCCCCAGTCTCTGGTCTCCACCCCACCTGTCACTTGTCCATTGGTGAAGAGTCCTGTGTCATCTGCTCAAGAGGTAAGGACGGGTGGTACTGAGAATTAACTGTGTAGCTCTGAGGAGCGTGGGTGCCAAACCTTTAGTTACAACACCTCAGTGCGCAGTGTTGGATAGACTTGGGAAATAGAAGTATTGAAAAACTACACCTTGGAAATAAATTCTTCCCAGAGAGGGGAATGCTTTCTGCGACTGGAATAAAAGTTGTTCACAACTGTCGATGCTTTCTGCCGCTGGAAGTCATAGCCGTATCCCTTGTGGTGCTGCACTTGAATGTAGGGAATCGCTGTGGTGGGTCATCTTCCCCCAGTTAAAGGAAGGCTGGGGACAAAAATAGAAGAACATGCCATTTTTGCCTTACTAACCCAGGGGAAGGGGTGTGCTGTCCTCAAAAATGGGGGAGCAGCCCGTGAGCTGAGAAGTTCTTTGTTGGGACTGGGTAATGCTTCTTTCTCAGTCTCCTCTCTTTCCCTTCTGCCCAGGGTGAGAGTCAAGAGGAATGCAAGCTTTTGGTAGAGGAGCTAAGCCCCATGCTGTCGGACAGACTGAAGCACTTGCAACGGCTCCTCAGAGCAGCCGTGGAGGGTGAAGTTGCCTCTGAGCTCCACCTGTCTGCTCTGGTGGACATGGTGGATATTTGAGCAGAGCTGAGATACACGTGCACACCAAGAGACTCGGTAAAGAAATCCAGGACGGGCTGACTGAACAGATAAGCTCCTGGGGCACGATCCAGAAAAAGCAGATGTCCTGCCGGGAGAAGCACAGAGAGCAGACGTGGGGCCTGGGCCCCTGTCACAGGGCTGCCTTGCACAGAGGCGACGTGTCGTGGCCCACCGTGTCCCTTTGGCTCGCTGCTAAGCTTTGGCTGGTCTGGGACTCTCCTTTTCTGCTTCACAGGCATGGAGACGAGTCAAATCCTTTTCTTGGAAGGCCTTAAATTGACACTTAATGGTGGTTTTTCTGTCTACCAGCTCTCATTGTAGCTCCACCAGGAGAAAACTATAAGGTAGCGGGGGGGGGGGACCCTGGCAACATCACAGCAATTTACTCCCCATAGACACAGTCCCCAAGATGTTGTCCCAGCTCTGTGCTTGCTTGCTTCACGCAGAAGCTCCCTTGCAGCAGCACCGTGGTTTGAAATTGCTGGTTTGCTGCCCAGGAATCTCAGCACCATTGTTCCTGAGTCTGTGCAACACTTGGCTGTATTTTGTCCTTAGTGGTGCTCTGTGCAAATCCAGAAGGATTTTTTTGCTGCTGGGCCCAAGTTTTATTGTATTGAACTTTTACAGCATTAAAACCAGATGAGTTGCTGCTTCTACAGATTGTCGTGCTGGAAAGTGGGACACTTTCTCTAGTCTTCAGTAAACAGCTATGGAGAAATGATTTCCCTTTTTTGGAAAAGCAGATTACCTCAATTCTCCAGTATTTAAAAAAAGCTCTGGCTTTAGAAGTTGAAGACTTTTGGTTTTAGTTGAATATTAATTCCCAGTAAATAATACGATGATACATTTAATGTCTGCAGTACTCCTGTACATGTAATCTTTATTATTTGCAGTATCAGAGAAAAACCTGCTGACAAACTTCTGCCTAGTGAAATACAAATTACTGCAGCTTTGGCGGTGAACACTGATTATCTTGCCTGCCAGAGACTGGTTGTCTGACTTGCTTCTAATTTCATTTGAAATTTTCAGTAGTCCAAAATTTCCAGCTACCTTCTAAAAATCATTTTATAGTTGGCTTTTTTTTTTTTTTTTTTTGTTATAATAACATTTGTATTGTTTCTCTTAAACCTAGAATAGTGGCTCAATATTCAGTTGAAATAAGAAATTTACACTGAAGAAATTATGCTTTGAGGCTGTTTGGAAACTTTTGTTGCGCTGAGTTGTGTTAACTTCCAGTGGTGGCATGCAAAGCGAAGCCCTCGTGCTCCTCTCTGCCTCACTTTACCCCAGTGCTCCCCTTGCTCTTCTCAGTTTACCCGGAATTCAGCTGTAACAACCCCAAAACAGTTTAGGAGGTGGTTCACGCCATCTGATGTAAATGTGTTTTGTACCTAATAAATCTGGAGTGGCTTGAAGCGTGCTGCCTCCTCCTTGCTGTGCCAAAGCGCCTGGTGCAGCATCATCCTCAAGGGCTGCTGCTCCGTCGAATCCCCCGAGTTATTTAGTGTAAAATACCCACGTTTGCCGGGGGGTTGCACCCTGACCCACCCCCCCGGCACCCCAACAACTCCCGCCTTCACTGCAGCTCGGGGTGGGGGGGCGGCAGCAAAACTCCCGACGGGGGTGGGATTCGAACCCACGCGTGCAGAGCACAATGGATTAGCAGTCCATCGCCTTCACCACTCGGCCACCTCGTCCTGCCTCTCGCCGCGCCCGGGGCCCCGCCCCTCCCCGCTTTTCCTGACCCGCCTCGTGGAGGATTTTGGGGGGGGGGGGGGCCGCCGAGGAGAAGCGGGGCGTAGGTTGGGGGCAGCTGGGCTCACCGCAGAGCCCTTTCACGCAGTGGCGGGGCTGCGCGAAGCAGCAAAATAGCAGCACACACCCACACCCACACCCCCCGCTTCCCCCCGTCCCCAACTGCCAGCCCGGCGTGGCGGCAAAATGGGTGCCCTCTCTGAGGCTCGAACTCAGGACCTTCAGATTATGAGACTGACGCGCTGCCGGCTGCGCTAAGAGGGCGACGGCGAGGGAAGCGCCGGCCGGGCCTCCAGCGGGGCGGCGGGAGGCGGGCGGTAGGACCCTGCGGCGCTCGGCGAGGGGCGGGGCCCCGGGCGCGGCGAGAGGCAGGACGAGGTGGCCGAGTGGTGAAGGCGATGGACTGCTAATCCATTGTGCTCTGCACGCGTGGGTTCGAATCCCACCCTCGTCGAAAGTTTTGCTGCACCGCCAGGGAGGGATCTGGGGGGGGGGGGTGTGAAGAGGTTGGGGACAACCCGCGCTGGCGTGTCCTGCGGCCCCACTCCTGCCCGGACACACGGGGAACCTGGGCTCGGCTCCCAGCGGTGTCTGAGCCCCGGGGCAGGGCGGGGGGGGGTGTCTAATTGCAAGTACCTGGTCCACCGTGGCAACTGCATCCTCCCAAGGGGAGAAGTCACCAGTGTGTGCGTGTCTGTGTCGTCTGTGTCTGTGTCCCGTCCTCCCCCCCCGGCAGAAGCGTTTGACTTGGGAAAGGGGATGGCAGGAGGAAACCAAGAAGCCCGGGCTGAAGAACTTGAAGAAGCATCTAAAAGGACAGCCAGGTGCTGGCGTGGAGGTGGTTGGAAGTCTCTTATCCATGACTCATGATAAAAAAACCCGCTCAGAAATCCTTAGAAGAGCTATTACTGCAGAAAGTGGCTTGTTAGGCAGTAAGACGATAACCTCCTGAAAGAGGAGGTCGCAACCGGAAAGCAAACTGGGACAAATGAAGTGTGAAGCCAAGGTGAAATGGATACCTTGGGGAGGGAGGGAGGGAGGGGAAGATGGGATTTCCACCAGAGGTGTCGGTGAACGGCGCCTGTTCATTTTAGCTGCAAAACGGAAACAAAAAACGAGCAAAAGGCAGAGTGCCAATCACATTTTGCACACAGTGCAGGCCCAGAGGGGGAAGAAGAAGGTGCCCTGGCCCCACAGCATCCCAAGCCCCAGTTGGGACTGGGATACCTGTGGCTCTGGGCGAGCTGCCCGGGGAGGGACCCAAACAAAGAGCCTGTGGATCAGATCCCTGCACCCCGCCTGGCTGAGGGATTAGCCTTCCCCTGCAGCTAATCCTGGCCGTCCAACCAGTCCAGGCACCCCGGGAAAGTAACTGAGGTGCTGCCAGATCCCTCCTGCCAGCCCTGTCGGGTATAAGAGCCCGGCGGGCTGGCTGCGGGCAGGGCAACCATGCTGGGGGGACCGGTCCTGCTGCTGCTCGCGGAGCTCGCAGGCGCTGCAGGGCAGGGGCAGGAGTGGGACCTGGGTGGGAGGGATGCCTCGGTCATCGCCGTGCCCAACGGGGGACCTTGGGGAGACTGGGCCTGGCCGGACATGTGCCCCAAGGGTTCCTATGCCAGAGGCGTCAGCTTCAAGGTGCAGTCTCTGCGCCAGTGCCCGTGGCTGTTCTGGGGACCCCATTCCCGTGGGGCATTAACCCCGCACCTCCATTCCTTGGCAGGTAGAGCCCCCCCAGGGGATGATGGAGGACGACACGGCACTCAACGGGATTCGGCTGCACTGCTCCCGCGGCGGGGACCCCACGACGGGCTACACAGTTGAGTCCCATAGCGGCAGGTGAGCTCCCACCGGTCCCCATCCCCTTCCCGTGGCTGCAGAACCTCCTTCGTGGCTGCCTCATCCTCCCGTACCACCCCCCCAACCCCCCCCCCCCCCCCCCCCCGGCCTCTGCACTGACCATCCTCCACCATTTCTCCCCATGTCTAGATGGGGCCGCTGGTCGGAGACCCGCTGGTGCCCCCACCGAGGGGGCTTGGTGGGCTTTGCACTGCGGGTCCAGGCACCCCAGCGCGGGCTCCTGAGGGATGAGGTGGCCGCCACCAGCGCCCGCTTTGTCTGCTCCGATGGATACGTCCTGGAGGGGCCGGGGTCCCCCTGGGGCCAGTGGGGCGGCTGGAGCCCTCGGTGCCCGGGGGCAGTGTGCGGCATCCAGACCCGGCAGGACCCTGCGCGGGGGCTGAAGAGGGATGACACGGCACTGAATGATCTGCGTCTCTTCTGCTGCCCGTAACGAGTGCTGGAAACCCACTGCAGGGCACCCAATCCCAGGACCGAGACACACAGCACAGCCTGGGCCCGGGGTCCCTTCCCCCAGGACCCCACATCCCTGGGGAGATGCCTTAGCCCTGGTACACTCCGGGGGGCACCTTCCCCTCATCCCCATGGGCTCCATCACTGAACAAGTGCTGCTGCAGGCCGTCCAACACCTACCCTGCTTCCCAGAGACGCTCCCAAGTCCTTTCTGCCCTCACACAGATTTTCAGCTATTCCCCAGCATCTCCAGGATTCTCCCTGTCCAACCCTGAAATGAGGTTTCAGTAAAAGCGTGCAGCCAGGCTGTGTCAGGACAGCTTTGTCATTGGGAAGGGGAACACAGGAGCAGAGAAGTGGGGAGCTGTGGCCAGCTCTGCCAGGACATGGGGATGCATCCCCCACTGAAAGGGGTAACCAAGAAGATGCAGCAGGACCCTCTTCAAAGGGCAAAAGGATGGGGGGCTGCGAGCACTGGTGGAAATCCTGATGGTGCAGAAGGAATAGAGGCCACCCCTACTCAAAGGCACTCCGTGTCCCCTCCTGTCCCTGTGTTCAGAGGCTGGCAAAGGGCAAGGTGACATTTATTTTTGCCACAAAACGCTGTGCCCAGGGTTTCGGCACTTGTTGCAGGTCTCCGCCACCAACTTGTGTCCGGAGGGTTTTCCCCTCTGATTCGGCACCGGCTGTGCAGGTGAATGGGGAAGATGGGGGGGGGGGGGGGGGGGGGGGGGGGGCAGCCTGATTTCCCAAACCCCATGGGGTCTGGAGATGGTTTGGGGTCGCCTCTGAAACCGTGAGCTCCCCAGGGAAACGGAGCAGAAGGAAACTCCTTCCCCACGCCGAGTGGGGTTGCCTAGCATAGAAGGGGGGGGGCGGGAGGGGGCCTCCATAGCTTGGGGGAAGGAAGAGACCCCCAGAATTGCCCCCAGCTTGGGGCAGGGAGGAAAAGAGACACACACACACACACACACCCCCCCAGGCACCACTGGGAGTCGAACCCAGGATCTCCTGTTTACTAGACAGGCGCTTTAACCAGCTGAGCCATGGCGCCCACCCGCCCCACGCCCGCGGGGGGGCCCCACGCCCACAGCCCGCTGCCACCCCGACCCCAGGCTCACCCCGCAGCAGCAGCGGGGGGGGGGGGGGGGCACTGCTGCCCGGGGACCCCCGGCGCAGGTTTGGGGGGGGCCGGGCCCCGCCGCCAGCCCCTGCCCGGGGAGCAGAGCGGGGCCGGGGGTGCGAGCGGGGCCGCAGCGCCCCCCCCGGAGCCTTCCCCGCTTCCCACGGGGGGGGGGGGGGGCCCCCCCGCAGCCGTGCGGCGGTGGCTGTGATGGCCGAGGGGTGAAGGCGTTGGACTCGAAATCCAATAGGGTTTCCCTGCGCAGGTTCGAATCCTGCTCACAGCGACTCCTTTTACCCGCCACCGGGGTCCTGGGGGGGCCGCGGGGGGCCGGGGGCCCCGCCAGCCCCAGCCCGGCACAGCACCGCTTCCCTGGGGAGCAGATCCTCCCCCCACCCCGGGGAACCTCCCTGGTGCCCCCGGAGGGACGGGACACCCGGGGCACACAGCCCCGCGCCGCTGGCCCCGGGGCCACCTCCGATCCTCCCCGCTGGGGAGGGGCCGCCCGGGCAGCCCCGGGCCCCACACCCACCGGCTCTCACGGGTGGCTTCGGCTGCCGAGGGTTTCACCAGCGGGGCAGCCGGGACCCGCACGGGGCCCTGGGGCCGATGAGGGGGGCCGGGGACCCCGCTGCCGGCTTGGGCTGCGGATCCGCCCTCGGCTGCAAGAGGATCTGGGTCCGACTCCCAGCGCAGCCCCCGCTCCGGGCGAAGCCTGCTGCTCGGGGCGGGGGGGGGGGCCGAGCTCCTCTGGGGGCAGCTCTTGGCTGCTGGCCCCTTCTTCCCTCCGACGCTCACCACAGATTTGGGCTGGGCAGGGCGAGCGGGGCATGTGATAAGGAATAGAAGAATTTTGCTTTCGCTAAAAGTAATTAAACAATTACTTCTTAGGCTAAAGCTATTATTAGTACAATGATCCAAATTTTAAGAAAAGTAAAAGACTTTACTAGTGGGGAAAAGGGGGGAATTGATCTGAGGAAACACCAACCCAACAGCCCCCCCTCTTGGGATGCTCACCGGATGGTCCATATCACAGGGCGGTAACTCCTTTGCAACGGATTGAGAAAAAACAGGACGGGCCATCCCTGGTATCCCTTGTCCTTGAGATAAGAGGGGAACTGAAACCACTGAGCCAGAAAAGACAAAGGAGCTGCAAATTGGCCCAGACTTGAAGGACCAGGTGTACAGGACCACAGGACTGAAGAAAGAAGGTAAGATTGTAGAAGAAGCCAGGAGGCATGCGGAAGGTGTTGAAACCGGCAGCTGGGTGGATAACAGGGGGTTTGAAACTTAAACAATTTCGTGAACCTGGACGGAGCTGCGACTCCTCGGCCACCCCAGCGCTGCATTTGCTCTCTTACCTAAATAAAGATTCATTAATCCATATTTGGATGTGATGGGCCTTAATCTCCCTATAACAGGGCAGCTGCCTCTCTTTGCGGTGGGGCTACGGGGTGCGGGCACCCGCTGTGCCCCCCAGTGCTGGGCCAGCCGTGCCCGCAGGAGCCCCAGGGTTTTTCTGGGGGTCCCTTCCACCCCCAGAGGCGGGTGGGAGTGGGGCGTGGGGAGGCAAAAGCTGGAGATGCTGGGGGTCGAGCCCAGGGCCTGTTAGACGCAAAGCAAGCGCTCTCCTGCTGAGCTCGATGCCCCCACCCGTGGGGTGCCCACGCAGGGCCCAGTGGCCACGTCCCGGCGGCGGCAGCATGGGAGCTTTGGGAAATTGGTGTGGGCTGAAGGAGAAGGCGCGTGGGCGCCCCACGGGGGCCGTTTGCGGGCAGGCGGGGGCTGTCGGGGCTGCCCCTGCCCCCCCCCGTGTGTGCAGAGAGCAGCGGGGCCGCATCCCCGAGGGGGGCTGGTCCCAAAAGGGGGGGCTCGTCCGGGAGTTGAACCCGGGACCTCTCGCACCCTAAGCGAGAATCATACCCCTAGACCAACGAGCCGCGGCGCTGGGCACCCCCCCCGCGGCACCCCAGAGCCCCCTGCCCCCCCCGAATTGCGGGACTGGGGCTGCAGCCGGGGCCGGGGCTTTGGCGCGGCACACGCGCGGGCTGCGCGCCCACGGGAGCATCGCCAGGCCGGCCGGGCCCGCGGGCAGCCCCCGGCGTGCTTTGGGGGCTTCTGGGGGGCTCTGCCACCCCCAGAGGCGGCTGCGGGGAGGCAAAAAAGCTGGAGATGCTGGGGGTTGAACCCAGGGCCTCTTACACGCAAAGCAAGCGCTCTCCCGCTGAGCTACATCCCCCCGACTCAAAACCTCCCCCGGCTCGCTCAGCCCCCCCGCGAAATCCCCGTCGCCGCTTCCCTCCCCGCCGCCCTCCCGCCCCCACCCACGGCTGCTGCCCGGGGGCTTCGGGCCCTGCCACGCGCGGGGGGGCCCTCGGCCGCCCCGCCGGGGCCGCCACTGGCAGGGACGGGGCCTGTGGGGCGGACACGCTGCTCGGGATGCAGCCCCCACCCTCGCCTGCCCGCCGGGGACGCGGGGGGGGGGGCAGCGGGGCTCCCCCTCCGCCGTCCCCCAATGCCCCGACAGACCCTTCCCCACCCGGCAGGGGCCGAGCCCGCCCACGGCGGAGCCGCGTCCCTGCCCACGGGGCCGCGGGCAGCAGCTGGGTGCCGGCAGCGGTGGGAGCCCCCGCCGGAGGGGCCCTGTCCGAGGCGGGGGGGGCGCCCGTCCCCGCTGTGTCGGGGCAGCGTCGCCCCCTCCGTGCCGCGTCCCCGCGGGGGCTGCGCCCGCCGGCGGGTGGGCGCCCCAAAAGTCAGGGGTCACCCGGGAGGGGAAGCGGGACAAATGCAGCTGCTGGATCCACGGAGCAGGGAAGCAGGAGGGAGCCCCCCGCTCCCCGCGCGCGCCGAGGGGCACCCACCGCCGCCCCCGCCCCCAGCGCCCCGAAATGGGGGGGCACCGAGCCGGGGGGGGCACGGGGGGGCGCAGCGCCGCGGCTCGTTGGTCTAGGGGTATGATTCTCGCTTTGGGTGCGAGAGGTCCCGGGTTCAACTCCCGGACGAGCCCCCCCTTTTTGGGACACACACCCCCCGCGGGGACACGGCACGGAGGGGGCAACGCTGCCCTGACACAGCGGGGACGGGCGGCCTCCACAGCCCAGCACCTGTTTCCGAAAACAACTTTTGTCCCTCCTGGGGAAGGGACACAATGTACCCCACAAACCAGCAGTACCCACGCAGGGGAGGGAGATGCCCACGGGGCATTTTCTCACAGGCTGTGGGTACCAGGACCCATCTTCAGGCCAGCCGTGCGCACGGGAAGCCACAGAAATTTCTGGGGAGCCTTGGGGGGCTCTGCCACCCCCAGAGCCGGCTGCGAGGGGGGTTCTGGGGAGGCAAAAAAGCTGGAGATGCTGGGGGTTGAACCCAGGGCCTCTTACACGCAAAGCAAGCGCTCTCCCGCTGAGCTACATCCCCCCACACACGGGAGAGCTGAGCCCCGTGGTCCAACTGCCCCACGGCCACTGGGGCCAGGGCAGGTACTGACCGTGGCCACCTCCAAATGCCAGCACAGCGTTCTGGGTACAGCAGATTGGATTTCCCCGCTCCAGATGAGCCACAGGCAAAAGGCAGCATCAGCCCCAGCCCTCAGCAACACCCAAAATTTTGGGGGGACAGATGTCAGGGGTGCCAGGGGGTGCCCAGCGCTGCGGCTCGTTGGTCTAGGGGTATGATTCTCGCTTCGGGTGCGAGAGGTCCCGGGTTCAACTCCCGGACGAGCCCCCCCTTTTGGGGCACCCACCTTCCTTGGCTGGTGTTTGGGCACAACTGGGGCATGGCGAGGTCGGTGGTGCCCAGCACAGAGGGGTTGGTGCCACGTCCCGGCTGGGTGCGTCCCTGTGGGCAGGGTGGCCCCCCAGCACTGACACCGTGTGCCCCCAGGCTCTGCTTTGGGGGCCGGGGCGCTGGGGGCAGAGCGGGGGCAGCGCTGGGGGGGCAGGGAGCTGCCCAGGCCTCGGCCCCTGCCCACGCAGGGGGATGGAGCTCAGCGGGAGAGCGCTTGCGTTGCGTGTAAGAGGCCCTGGGTTCAACCCCCAGCATCTCCAGCTTTTGCCTCCCCACCCCCCCCTCGCAGCCGGCTCTGGGGGTGGCAGAGCCCCCCAGAAGCCCCCAAAGCACGCCGGGGGCTGCCCGCGGGCCCGGCCGGCCTGGCGATGCTCCCGTGGGCGCGCAGCCCGCGCG